GGAGCCTGTTTCAGATTCTGTGTCTCCCTCTCTCTCTGCTCCTCCCCTGTTCATGCTCTGTGTCTCTCTGTCTCAAAAAAATAAATAAACGTTAAAAAAAATTTTTTTAAATAAATAAATAAAATAATAAAAAAGATCTGCTTGATTTTGGAATGCAAAAAGGAGGTGGGCTGCATCATTTTGAGTTCATCACAGATATAGACTCTGGACAACAAAGCCAGGCTCTCTGGAATCTCCTGAATCTCCATCAGCATCATAGCTGAGGCTCTGTCCAGCTTCTCTGGACCTGTCTCCCTTGCTAGATGGCGAATAACCCGAAGTCTTTCCCAAAGCAGCCTCAACAGTACCCCACACAGTCAGCATGAACTAAGTGATGAAAACACTTTCTGGGCAGATGTTCCATGTTTCCCATTTCACAAACCTTCAAACCCTGTCCTTACCTTCTACTAAAGGAGACCATTTACTCCTGCCTCCTATACTAACTCCCTCCCTCAGAGCTTAAAACTGCTCCCAGAGCAGGCCCACCTGCTGCCCAACCTGTCCTCACTACTCACCACCACCATAGGTAACCCCACTACCGCTTTCATACAGATTCTTCAACTACCCCACTACTCTTTCGTCCAGAATGCCACCAAGTCATACCCACTCCTTGAGGCTCAGTGAAGTCCATCCTCTTAAGGAATCCAACTGCCAGCTTTCTCACCTTCCGGGTTTAAAGTACAGGAAGGGTAATTCCCTTTGCACCTGGTTCTGTTTCAGGGCCTGTTGATCACATTCCCCCATTAAACTTTACTCCAGGAGGGCTTCCCCCAGAATAAGCAGACAGTGGAGTCACCAACAGTGAGGCCAGGGACCCAAGCTCAGTCCCTTGACCTCTCTCTCTCTAGCCGTGGTCTGATTCTCAGTATAAGGAGGGATGTGATGGGAAAAAGATCTGAGGTCTCCTTTATTTCAGATTCCAAAATTCGGAAATTCCATATAGATCCCCTAGACACAAATGAAAAAGTCTAATAAACTGTTCTTCCATTGACCCATTTAAACAGGTGGCCCAACTATGCAAGCTGGCCTCAATTTTTCCAAATGCTTGATCTTCACGGAGCCTTGGATAGTAACTTTTAGAAAAATTGCTTTGTTTTTTCATAAATTTTACAAGCCTGAGTTTTTTCCTCCTATCATTGATTGGAAGAAACAAGTGGGGGAGGGGGTAACTGACCCGCTCAATTTTGCTACTAAGATCGTAAGCTTGGGATTCGCACTGCCTCGGCTTCTCCTCCGGGCGCGCAAACGGTCCCCAGCCCGCCCTGCCCACACGCCCGACAGCCGGGGATTGCCAGGGTCGGTGGCGGTGGGCCGTCCGTGTGTCCCCAGCCGAGACACCACCTGGAACGTCGGGGCGCATCCAGATGGCCGAGTCGGGGCCGCACCCCGCTGTCACCTGGCCCCGCACAGCGGCCTGCGCTCCTCCCGGGGCGGCCCTAGCTCCCTCGGCTCCAGCTCCAGCCGGCGCTTCCCTTTCGATTCCTGAGCCGAATCTGGCCTCCAGGCGGTCACTGGGCCAAGAGGCGAAGGCACCTGCCTCTCCCGCAAGAACGCACGAGCCCGCAAGTCCCTTCTGCCACAACCTCGACGGGGGCTTGCAAAAGAAATACAGAAGAAAGGAAAACAAGCCCGAGGCAGGGCCGTCCCGGCCCGGCGTCTCCCACGAAATCGCCACCTGCGATGCACCCCGGGCTGGGGGCCGCGGGCCCGGCAGGGAGCGAGGTCCGGGGCCCGGCCCGCCGCGCCCGCCCGCCCCGGCGCGCC